TAAGCAACACCCCCACAACGCCCTAAATCGGTACTACTTAAGTCGATAAGTTTTATACGAGTTGGGTGTATTTTAGTAATAATTTGTAATTTTAGGGGTCCCACTGGACCATTTAATGATTTAATCATATTAGTTGTAATTTAATTATACGCCCATTGACGTAAAAATTTAAAGATAAAGTTAGTTGATTAATTGGACTCGAACCTTATCGGTTGCCTACGTATCCGTAAGACGGGATCAAAGTCCACGTAGTTCGCTAGGACTTTGAATATTTTAAGTAAAGTTATTACCACATTCCACTGATCGTGGTTCTCGTATCAAAATTTATTGTTAGTAAAATTTAGGTTGGTATTATGAAATTATAAACAGATAATGTAATAATTTCAATTATTAAGAGGAGTTTTGATGTATTAGAAAAGAAACGAGATATACTTAATCCGCAATTCTACACTTCGTATTAAGGATTTTAAATGAATTAAACTATACGGGATTATAATATTGACGCATGAGGGCCAGCAGCCCAACTGGCTGAAATGCCAGACCCAATTCGCGTTTGACCGAGGGAACAAGGGTTCGAAACGCGCTAACTACAAAAAAACTTTTTGTTTACTCGTTTTAGAGCAGAGAAGGGGGAAGGGCAATTTGGTAAGCTCACAAAAGGACGGTGGTACGGCCGCGTAATTAGCAATAAACCCTAGGGGCATTTTAGTCTTTTTGAAACTCATGGTATATAAACTTTTTAACCTAACCCTAATCAATCCGCAGCAGCCGCCGCCCTCTCGATTCCTCTCTCGATTCTTCCTCGCTTTTCTTCTTCTCTTCCAGAGAAAAGAAGACGAAACCCTAGCCGCCTTCAAAGGAATCAAACGGCGGCCGCTCTCTTCTTTCATTCCTCCCTAATCTTCTCGCCTCTTAACCGCCGCCGGTCTCTTCTCTCACTCTCTCTCTCTCGATTTTCTTCTGTTCTCTCCTCTCCTCTTCAGAGAAACAAAACCCTAGGCAAAAACTAGCAATGCCGTCATCATCTTCTCCCTTCTCCCTCGTCTCAATCCACTCTCCCTCTCCAACTCTCGTCTCTCTTCCAGAAGCGAACCGAGACCCCCAACACATCTAGAGGCGGCCGCTTCTCACTCTCTCTCTCTCTCTCTCGGTTAATGACGAGAGCAAAGACGAATGGAAAGGCGGCGACGGGAAGACTAGCGGAGCCTCGACGGCGACGACTGATTGAGGTAGGGCATCTTGCATGTCGATTTTGGGGCTTTTGTTTGTGTTACTTAAGGTTGTAATCTGGATTTTATGTTGATTTTTGGATTTTCAGGGGTTTTCGAGTCTCTGGTTTCGGTGGGGAGGAAGAGAGGCGACACGAGGCGGCGACTACGGCTTCGAAACCAGCAAGGGAGGCCTTGGGACAGACAGACAAACGACGTTTAGGTCTGCATTTTTTTGGTTTTATTTTGCTCTCTTCGGTTTAGTTCTACACTGAGTGTTTTTTGTTGTTGGCAGATCTGGAAAAGTGGTCGACGGAGACGGTAGCAGAGGCTACTCCGGCGGCGACGACTTAAAGATTTGGTAAGGATTTTTCCTTTTTTATTTGATAATATCTATGTTTTTGGTTTCTAATCTGCCTATTTTATTTGATGCAGGGCTTGGGGAAGTACGGTGTTAGGTGAGGTTCCTCTTAACCTTGATTGGTTTAATTAACTAAGAAGGTTATCTAAAAAAAAATTAATTTGTGCATCCGAATTTATGGAAAATGGTCTTGGTGTTTTAGGCTTTAATCGGTGGTCTTTCGTTGCTTGCTAATCCAGTTTTGGTTTCGGCAGATTCTGGGTTTTGGATTTGATAGGCCAAAGTTTAAAAAACAGACTAGGTTTTAACCAAAACAAAAACTATGCACCTAGGTGCTTTGATGATATATGCAATTTTGATTGTATTTAGTTTAAAGCAATGAAACTTAAGTATATTTCACTTGCATGATCTAAGTAGTAAATGGAATTAATTTTGTGTAATGAAGATGGTAACCGCCACTGTTGACATCTATATACCGCTGCAACTGCTTGCGATTTTTATTAGACTAATGGTTGATTTGTGGGTTTTGAAATATGAAATTTATTGCGTTTATAGTGTTTGAGTGTTAACTTTGTTCAGTAGTCAAAAATGGAAAATATATGGCACAAATAGTAGATCTATAGAAAGTGCTTAATCACTATAAATGGATAGCAAGTAAGATAAAAAAAACAAGTAGCTAAATTTGAACGAAATATTACAGCGTAGTGTGTATAATCAATATGAGTAGTTGATATCATTTAATGGTAATAATATGCTCTTAAGATGGATGGAAGATAATAACAAGTGCTCAAGCATAAATCACTTAAATGGAAATGGAAATGAATAAACAGATTAGTTGGGACAGTAATATAATAAACTGGAACAAACCGAATAGGAGTGCAAAGCGCAGTTTTATTATGGAAGGAGTAGTGAGCTACAAAGCAAACCTGGTATAACTCTTGATTTAGATCGCCCTTCTTCCTAATGCTATCATCAAACCTCTGGACCGAACTTCGTGTATAAGAAAGGTTTAAAGAAAGACCAGATCGGAAGTGTTCTTACCTATGCGAGTTTCTATTTTTGTGATGTTTTTTTTTCTCTCCCCCTCCTCAACAAAGAGCCCCAAGAGCTCATTTATAGCAAACCAAACCGCCACGTGTCGCCATATGATTCGTCCATTTTTTTATTTCGACTTTGAAGAGTGTGCCTGGTCGGTTGTGGATAGGATTTGGTTAGACCGATTTGGTCGAGGTCGTTTTATGTTTTTTTTCGGACCGAACTGGTTAGGCCGAGTTGGGCTTTGGGTTTGGGCCGAGTTGGGCTTGGGCTTGAATTGACTGAACCTCTCTTTTTTTTGCAGGTCTTCGGGGCTGGGCCTAAAATGAGGGGCTGGAGGAAAGAACCAGTCTTTCTTTGTATATGTAGGATTTGTAATGGCCTATATAATTACCTTTTCCTTCAATGTCGATGTAATTCTCGATGCAAATTACGATATAAGGAATCAATTAGCAAAGTTTATTTTAGTCTTTACTGATTTGTGCTCTAAATATTGTAAATCATATCAACATCCAAAAGAGGAAGCGTACTAAATTTCTAATCTCAATGCGTAGAACAATAATTGATAATCATTGGTTCATATCGACTTGCTACTGCTAGTCTCAACCAATTCACTTAAGTTACCTTTCCAAATATAATTGTGATACAATTAACTCTCCCTTTGATGTATATATAATTAGCATGATGATTGTTCTGGACAAAATGTGGTGTCTACAGGATGATAAGCCCATTAAGCACCGATTTGGGCCAATTTATTTTTGTATGAAATTTTCGTAATTATTTGGGCGACGAAATGCCATTTTCTTTGGATATTAAAGGCTACAGATCACGGATTCGACCTGAGGCTATTCTTAAACTTTGATTAAGTCCATTAAGCACCGATTTGGGCGGATTTATATCGGGTCAATTTTTGGCAGATTCCAAAGGGGTACCATCACAGATTTCGGGCGATTTTTCTGACATGCCATTTTCTTTCGATTATGGAGGCTACAGATCACGGAATGACGCTGAGGCTATTCTCGACCAATAATGAAGTCTATTGATCCGACTCTCCAGGGATGATAAGACCATTAAGAACCGATTTGGCCAATTTATTTTCGGATGGCATTTTCATACTTTTTTGGGCGACGAAAGGCCATTTCTTTTGATATTGAAGGCTACAGATCACAGATTCGGTCTGAGGCTATTCTTCAACTTTGATTCAGTCCATTAAGCACCGATTTGGGCGGATTTATTTCGGGTCAATTTTTTTGCAGATTCCAAAGGTGTACCATCACAGGTTTCGAGCGTTTTTTCAGAAATGCCATTTTCTTTCGATTATGGAGGCTATAGAATGAGGCTGAGGCTATTCTCCACCGACAATGAAGTCTATTGATTCTATTCTCCAAGGATGATAAGCCCATTAAGCACCGATTTGGGCCAATTTATTTTCGGATGGCATTTTTCGTAATTTTTTAGGCGACGAAAGGCCATTTTTTTGGATATTGAAGGCTACAGATCACGTATTCGGCATGAGGCTATTCTTCAACGATGATTAAGCCCATTAAGCAACTATTTGGGCGGATTTATTCCAGGTCAATTTTTGGCAGATTCCAAAGGGGTACCATCACATATTTTGGGCGATTTTTCCGAAATGTCATTTTCTTTCTATTATGGAGGCTACAGATTACGGAATGAAGCTGAGGTTATTCTCCACCGATAATGAAATTTATTTATCCTATTCTCCAGGGATGATAAGCCCATTAAGCACCGATTTGGGCCAATTTATTTTTGGATGTCATTTTCGTAATTATTTGGGCGATGAAAGGCCATTTTCTTTGGGTATTGAAGGCTACAGATCACGGATTCGGCCTGAGGCTACAGATCACAGAATGAGACCGAGGCTATTCTCCACCGGTAATGAAGTTTATTTATCCTATTCTCTAGAGATGATAAGCCCATTAAGCACCAATTTGGGCCAATTTATTTTTGGATGGCATTTTCGTAATTATTTGGGGAAAGGCCATTTTCTTTGGATATTGAAGGCTACAGATCACAGATTCGGCCTGAGGCTATTCTTCAACTTTGATTAAGTCCATTAAGCAACGATTTGGGCAGATTTATTATGGTTTTGCCTGATTCCAAAGGGGTACCATCACAGATTTTAGACGATTTTTCAGAAATGCCATTTTCTTTCGATTTTGGAGGCTACAGATCACAGAATGAGGCCGAGGCTATTATCCACCAATAATGAAGTCTATTGATCATATTCTCCAAGGATGATAAGCCCATTAAGCACCAATTTGGCTCAATTTATTTTCGGGCGATTTTTCTCAGATTCCAAATGGGTACAATCACAGATTTCGGGCTATTTTTCCGAAATGCCATTTTCTTTCAATTCTGGAAGCTACAGATCACGTAATGAGGGCGAGGCTATTCTCCACCGATAATGAAGATTATTTATCCTATTCTCCAGGGATGATAAGCCCATTAAGCACCGAATTGGGCCAATTTGTTATTGGATGGCATTTTCGTACTTACTTGAGCGACGAAAGGCCATTTTCTTTGGATATTGAAGGCTACAGATCACGGATTCGGCCTAAGGCTATTCTTAAACTTTGATTAAGTCTATTAAGCACCAATTTGGGCGGATTTATTCCGGGTCAATTTTTAGCAGATTCCAAAGGGGTACCATCAAAGATTTCAGGCGATTTTTCTGAAATGCCATTTTCTTTCGATTATGGAGGCTACAGATTACGGAATGTGGCTGAGGCTATTCTCCACCGATAATGAAGTATATTTATCCTATTCTCCAGGGATGATAAGCCCAATAAGCATCGATTTGAGCCAATTTATTTTCGGATGACATTTTCGTAATTTTTTGTGCGACGAAAGGCCATTTTCTTTGGATATTGAAGGTTACAGATCACGGATTCGGCCTGAGGCTATTCTTCAACAATGATTAAGTCCATTAAACACCGATTTGGACGGATTTATTCCGGGTCAATTTTTGCCAGATTCCAAAGGGGTACTATCACCTATTTTGGACGATTTTTCCGAAATGCCATTTTCTTTCGATTATGGATGCTACAGATCACGGAATGAAGCCGAGGCTATTATCCACTGATAATGAAGTCTATTGATCCTATTCTCTAAGGATGATAAGCCCATTAAGCACCAATTTGGCTCAATTTATTTTCGGGCGATTTTTCTAAGATTCCAAAGGGGTACCATCACAGATTTCGGGCGATTTTTCCGAATTGCCATTTTCTTTCGATTATGGATGCTACAGATCACGGAATGAGGCCGAGGCTATTCTCCACCGATAATGAAGTCTAGTGATTCTATTCTTCAGGGATGATAAGCCAATTAAGCACCTATTTGGGCCAATTTATTTTCGGAGATGGCATTTTCGTAATTTTTTGGGCGACGAATGGCCATTTTCTTTGGATATTGAAGGCTACAAATCACGGATTCGGCCTGAGGCTATTCTTCAACGATTATTAAGTCCATTAACCACCGATTTGGGCGGATTTATTCTGGGTCAATTTTTGGCAGATTTCAAAGGGGTACCATCACAGATTTCGGGCGATTTTTCCGAAATGAAATTTTCTGTCGATTCTGGTGGCTACAAATCACGGAATCAGGCCGAGGCTATTCTCCCCCGATAATGAAGTCTATTGATCCTATTCTCCAGGGATGATAAGCCCATCAAGCACCGATTTGGGCCAATTTATTTTCGGATGACTTTTTCGTAATTTTTTGGGCGACGAAAGGCCATTTCTTTGGATATTGAAGGCTACAGATCACGGATTCGACCTTAGGCTATTCTTCAACTTTGATTAAGTCCAGTAAGCACCGATTTTTGCGGTTTTATTTCGGGTCAATTTTTGGCCGATTCCAAAGGGGTACCATCACAAATTTCGGGCGATTTTTCCGAAATGTATTTTCTTTCGATTCCGGAGGCTACAGATCACGGAATCAAGCTCAAGCTATTCTCCTCCGATAATGAAGTCTATTCATCCTATTCTCGAGGGATGATAAGCCCCTTAAGCACCGATTTGGGCCAACTTATTTCCCGATGGCATTTTCGTAATTTTTTGGGCGATGAAAAGCTATTTTCTTTGGATATTGAAGGCTACAGATCAAGGATTCGGCCTGAGGCTATACTTCAACGATGATTAAGTCCATTAAGCACCGATTTGGGCAGATTTATTCCGGGTCATTCTTTAGCAGATTCCAAAGGGGTACCAACACAGATTTCGGGCGATTTTTTCCGAAATGTCATTTTCTTTCAATTCTGGAGGCTACAGATCACGGAATGAGGACGAGGCTATTCTCCACCGATAATGAAATCTATTGATCCTATTCTCTAGGGATGATAAGCCCATTAAGCACCAATTTGGGCCAAATTTTTTTCGGATGACATTTTTGTAATTTTTTTTGCTACGAAAGGCCATTTTCTTTGGATATTGAAGGCTATAGATCACGGATTCGGCCTGAGGCTATTCTTCAACAATGATTAAGTCCATTAAGCATCGATATGAGCGGATTTATTCAGTGTCCATTTTTGGCAGATTCCAAAGGGGTACCATCACAGATTTTGGGCTATTTTTTCGAAATGCCATTTTATTTCGATTCTGTAGGCTACAGATCACGGAATCAGGCCGAGGCTATTCCCCACCGATAATGAAGTCTATTCATCCTATTCTCCAGGGACGATAAGCCCATTATGCACCGATTTGAGCCAATTTATTTTCAGATGGCTTTTCGTAATTTTTGGGCGACAAATTGCCATTTTCTTTGGTTATTGAAGGCTACAGATCACGGATTCGGCCTGAGGCTACAGATCACAGAATGAGACCAAGGCTATTCTCCACCGATAATGAAGTTTATTTATCCTATTCTCTAGAGATGATAAGCCCATTAAGTACCGATTTGGGCCAGTTTATTTTTGGATGGCATTTTCGTAATTATTTGGGCGACTAAAGGCCATTTTCTATGGAAATTGAAGGCTACAGATCACGGATTCGGCCTAAGGATATTCTTCAACTTTGATTAAGTCCATTAAGCAACGATTTGGGCAGATTTATTCTGGCTCAATTTTTGCCTGATTCCAAACGGGTACCATCACAGATTTTAGACGATTTTTCAGAAATGCCATTTTCTTTCGATTTTGGAGGCTACAGATCACAGAATGAGGCCGAGGCTATTATCCACCGATAATGAAATCTATTGATCCTATTCTCCAAGGATGATAAGCCCATTAAGCACCAATTTGGCTCAATTTATTTTCGGGCGATTTTTCTCAGATTCCAAAGGGGTATCATCACAGATTTCGGGCGATTTTTGCGAAATTCCATTTTCTTTCAATTCTGAAGGCTACAGATCACGTAGTGAGGGCGAGGCTATTCTCCACCGATAATGAAGATTATTTATCCTATTCTCCCGGGATGATAAGCCCATTAAGCACCGAATTGGGCCAATTTGTTTTTGGATGGCATTTTTGTAATTATTTGAGCGACGAAAGGCCATTTTCTTTGGATATTGAAGGCTATAGATCACGGATTCGGCCTAACGTTATTCTTCAACTTTGATTAAGTCTATTAAGCACCGATTTGGGCGGATTTATTTCGGGTCAATTTTTAGCAGATTCCAAAGGGGTCCATCACAGATTTCGGGCGATTTTTCCGAAATGCCATTTTCTTTCGATTATGGAGGCTACAGATTACGGAATGTGGCTGAGGCTATTCTCCACAGATAATGAAGTTTATTTATCCTATTCTCCAGGGATGATAAGCCCAATAAGCATCGACTTGAGCCAATTTATTTTCGGATGGCATTTTCGTAATTTTTTGGGCGACGAAAGGCCATTTTCTTTGGATATTGAAGGTTACAGATCACTGATTCGGCCTGAGGCTATTCTTCAACAATGATTAAGTCCATTAAGCACCGATTTGGACGGATTTATTCCGGGTCAATTTTTGCCAGATTCCAAAGGGGTACCATCACTTATTTTGGATGATTTTTTTCGAAATGCCATTTTCTTTCGATTATGGATGCTACAGATCACGGAATGAGCCCGAGGCTATTCTCAACCGATAATGAAGTCTAGTGATTCTATTCTTCAGGGATGATAAGCCAATTAAGCACCGATTTGGGCCAATTTATTTTTGGATGGCATTTTCGTAATTTTTTGGGCGACGAATGGTCATTTTCTTTGGATATTGAAGGCTACAGATCACGGAATGGGCCTGAGGCTATTCTTCAACGATGATTAAGTCCATTAAGAACCAATTTAGGCAGATTTATTCCGGGTCAATTTTTGGCAGATTCCAAAGGGGTACCAGGCCGAGACTATTCTCCCCCGATAATGAAGTCTATTGATCCTATTCTCCAGGGATGATAAGCCCATCAAGCACCGATTTGGGCCAATTTATTTTCAGATGACATTTTCGTAATTTTTTAGGCGACGAAAGGCCATTTCTTTGGATATTAAATGCTACAAATCACGGATTCGACCTGAGGCTATTCTTCAACTTTGATTAAGTCCATTAAGCACCGATTTTTGCGGTTTTATTTCGGTTCAATTTTTGGCCGATTCCAAAGGGGTACCATGACAAATTTCGGGCGATTTTTCCGAAATGTAATTTTATTTCGATTCCGGAGGCTACAGATCACGGAATCAAGCCGAGGCTATTCTACTCCGATAAATGAAATCTATTCATCCTATTCTCGAGGGATGATAAGCCCATTAAGCACCGATTTGGGCCAACTTATTTTCCGATGGCATTTTCGTAATTTTTTGGGAGACGAAAGGCCATTTTCTTTGAAAGTTGAATGCTACCGATCACGGATTCGGCTTGAGGCTATTCTTCAACGATAATTAAGTCCATTAAGCATCGATTTGGACAGATTTATTCCAGGTCAATTTTTGGCAGATTCCAAAGGGGTACCATCACAGATTTCATGTGATTTTTCCGAAATGCCATTTTCTTTCGATTCTGGAGGCTACAGATCACGGAATCAGGTAGAGGCTATTCTCCACCTATAATGAAGTCTATTCATCCTATTTTCCAGGGATGATAAGCCCATTATGCACCGATTTGGGCCAATTTATTTTCGGATGGCATTTTCGTAATATTTTGGGCGTTGAAAGGTCAATTTCTTTGGATATTAAAGGCTACAGATCACGGATTTGGCCTGAGGCTATACTTCAACGATTAAGTCCATTAAGCACCGATTTGGGCAGTTTTATTCCGGGTCATTTTTTAGCAGATTCCAAAGGGGTACCATCACAGATTTCGGGCGATTTTTTCCGAAATGTCATTTTCTTTCGATTCTGGAGGCTACACATCACGGAATGAGGATGAGGCTATTCTCCACCGATAATGAAATCTATTGATCCTATTCTTTAGGGATGATAAGCCCATTAAGCACCAATTTGGGCCAATTTATTTTCTGATGACATTTTCGTAGTTTTTTTTTTGCGACGAAAGGTCATTTTCTTTGGATATTGAAGGCTACAGATCACGGATTCGGCCTGAGGCTATTCTTCAACAATGATTAAGTCCATTAAGCACCGATATGAGCGGATTTATTCCGGGTCCATTTTTGGCAGATTCCAAAGGGGTACCATCACAGATTTTAGGCTATTTTTTCGAAATGCCATTTTATTTTGATTCTGGAGGCTACAGATCACGGAATCAGGCCGAGGCTATTCCCCACCAATAATGAAGTCTATTCATCCTATTCTCCAGGGACGATAAGCCCATTAAGCACCGATTTGGGCCAATTTATTTTCAGATGGCATTTCGTAATTTTTGGGCGACAAATTGCCATTTTCTTTGGTTATTGAAGGCTACAGATCACGGATTCGGCCTGAGGCTATTCTTCTACGATGATTAAGTCCATTAAGAACCGATTTGGGAGGGTTTATTTTGGGTCAATTTTTGACAGATTCCAAAGGGGTACTATCATAGATTACTGGCGATTTTTCCGAAATGCCATTTTCTTTCGATTTTGTAGGCTACAGATTCCAAAGGGGTACTACCATCACAGATTTAGGGCAATTTTTCCGAAATGCCATTTTCTTTCGACTCTGGAGGCTAAAGATCATGAAATCTGGCGGAGGCTATTCTCAACCGATAATGAAGTCTATTAATCCTATTCTTCAGGGATGATAAGCCCATTCGGCTCCGATTTGGATAATTTATTTTCGGATGACATTTTCGCAATTTTTTGGGCGATGAAAGGCCTTTTTCTTTGGATATTGAAGGATACAGATCACAGATTCGAATTGAGGCTATTCTTCAACGACGATTAAGTCCATTAACCACCGATTTGGGCGGATTTATTCCGGTTCAATTTTTGGCAGATTCCAAAGGGGTACCATCGCAGATTTCGGGCGATTTTTCTGAAATGCCATTTCTTTCAATAATGAAGTCTAAAGATCACGAAATCAGGCCGAGGCTATTCTCCACCGATAATGAACTCTATAAATCCTATTCTCTAGGGATGATAAACCAATTAAGCACCGATTTGGGCCAATTTATTTTCAGATGGCATTTTCGTAATTTTTTGAGCGATGAAATTCCATTTTCTTTGGATATCGAAGGCTACAGATCACGGATTCGGCCTGAGGCTATTCTTCAACGATGATTAAGTCCATTAAACAACGATTTGGGCGGATTTATTCCTTTTCCTTTTTTGTCAGATTCCAAAGGGGTACCATCACAGATTTCAGGTAATTTTTCTGAAATGTAATTTTCTTTCGTTTCTGGAGGCTACAGATCACGGAATCAGGCCGAGGATATTCTCCACAGATAATGAAGTCTATTCATCCTATACTCCAGGGATGATAAGCCCATTAAGCACCAATTTGGGCCAATTTCTTTTCGGATGGCATTTTCGTAATTTTATGGGCGTTGAATGGCCATTTTCTTTGGATATTTAAGGCTACAGATCACGGATTCGGCCTGAGGCTATTCTTCAACGATGATTAAGTCCATTAAGCACCGATTTGGGCGGATTTATTCCAGATCAATTTTTGGCAGAATCGATCAATTTTTGGCAGAATCCAAAGGAGTACCATCACTGATTTCGCCGATTTTTCCGAAATGCCATTTTCTTTCGATTTTGGAGGCTACAGATCACGGAATCAGGCTGAGGCTATTCTTCACCGATAATGAAGTCTATTGTTCCTATTCTCCAGGGATGATAAGCCCATTAAGCACCGATTTGGGCCAATTTATTTTCGAATGGCATTTTCGTAAATTTTTGGGCGATGAAAGGCCATTTTCTTTGGATATTGAAGGCTACAGATCAGGGATTCGGCCTGAGAATATTCTTCAACGATGATTAAATCCATTAAGCACCGATTTGGGCGGATTTATTCTTGGTCAATTTTTGGCAGATTCCAAAGTGGTACCATCACCGATTTCGGCGATTTTTCCGAAATTCTATTTTCTTTCGATTCTGGAGTCTACGGATCACGGAATCAGGGCGAGGATATTCTTCACCGATAATGAAGTTTATTGATCCTATTCTCCAGGGATGATAAGCCCATTAAGCACCGATTTGGGCCAATTTATTTTCTGGTGACATTTTCGTAATTTTATGGGAGACGAAAGGCCATTTTCTTTGAAAGTTGAATGCTACCGATCACGGATTCGGCTTGAGGCTATTCTTCAACTATAATTAAGTCCATTAAGCTCTGATTTGGACGGATTTATTCCGGGTCAATTTTTGGCAGATTCCAAAGGGGTACTATCCCAGATTTCGTGTGATTTTTCCGAAATGCCATTTTCTTGCGATTCTGGAGGCTACAGATCACAGAATCAGGTTGAGGCTATTCTCCAGCTATAATGAAGTCTATTCATCCTATTTTCCAGGGATGATAAGCCCATTAAGCACCGATTTGGGCCAATTTATTTTCGGATGGCATTTTCGTAATTTTATGGGCGTTGAATGGCCAGTTTCTTTGGATATTTAAGGCTACAGATCACGGATTCGGCCTGAGGCTATTCTTCAACGATGATTAAGTCCATTAAGCACCGATTTTAGCGGATTTATTCCGGGTCAATTTTTGGCAGAATCTAAAGAGGTACCATCACCGATTTCGACAATTTTTCCAAAATGCCATTTTCTTTCGATTCTGGACGCTACAGATCAGGGAATTAGGCCGACGCTATTCTCCACAGAAAATGAAATCTATTCATCCTATACTCCAGGGATGATAAGCCCATTAAGCATCGATTTGGGCCAATTTATTTTCTGGTGACATTATCGTAATTTTTTGGGCGACGAAAGACCATTTTCTTTGAATGTTGAATGCTACCGATCACGGATTCGGCTTAAAGTTATTCTTCAACGATAATTAAGACCATTAAGCACCGATTTGGGCGGATTTATTCTGGGTCTATATTTGGCAGATTCCAAAGG